AGGCTTGCTGTGAGTGGGACCCGACTGGGCGCCACCTGTCTATAACAGACAGCGACAAGAGGTACGGGGCTCAGGACTCCCAGGCTGTGTTGAGAAACAACTTCCTTTGTTGTGGAGGTCTTCTCGATGGGTTCCGGTTCATGATGTCCCAAGTTTTCATTCTGAACTTCTGACGAGAAGATGCAGTCTCCTGAGAGTTTCACGGACTGCCTGGGGCCACCTCTCCTACATTCCTACTGTACTAATCACTTTTTCTTAATTATATTTTTGGACATCAAGTGTCATTTTCCCATTAAGTGTATAACATGATGCATTTTCATACATTACAACCTTGTTTATTAATGGTTTTTCTACATTATGGTCTTGGGTTTCTAGCCCATTTGTAAGAGCTTCCTATTAACAAAGTCAGTGAAGCAGAGGAGTACTGCAGGGCGATTTATGAACACATCAAGAGACTTTAATTTGCTCACGTTTTCCCATCATGCTGGCTGAACAGAATAGAAAGAACAATTTGCTAATGCATGGACGGTTGTGGAGTCAAAGGAAAACACTGTCTTTTCAGAGCTCATGGGCTGCAGTGTTCACACAGCCGACTCTACGCTTGCACACATGCAGTTGGTGGTCACGCTGCCACGGACGCCACCTGTTTGCCTCTTCTAGTTGGCACTATGGGAAGCTGGGGGAGTGTGTGTGAGTCACTCAGACAGAAAACTCTGCCCAAGGAAGTGCAGCGTAGGAACGGGAAGAATGTTGATATATATCTGCCAGTTATCTGGGGAACAGAGACATCCCCATTTGATTTACCTCCTATTTCCTATGTGGATAAACTCAAAATCTGTCATTACTAGCTTATGTTTAGCCGTATGCCTTGTATCTGTTGTTCTTAAGTCAGTTCCAACTCACAGTGACATGGGGTTTCTGAGGAGTGGTTGGTGAGTTTGAACTGCTAACCTGACGGTTCAAACGGACCTTGTGGTTCAGTGTATTATCACACAGTGCCACACCAGGACTCCTATACTCCATATCAATTAATCACAGCCACATGTGTGTTTTCGGGACATCCGAGCTCAAATGTCTTAGTGAAGAAGAGCATGCACTGTCCTTGATGGGAGACTCTCTCCTGGCTGGAGGCCGTGATGTGAAGGCAGGAACTCTTGCAGCCACACTGTAGTCACATGGGAGTGCTCGGAGCTAGTGGAAGCCATCCCAACTCCACCTCCCATGCCGGCTCAGCCTCACACATGGCTGGCACCTGCGTGTCCACTTCTGCTCTGGGCTCAACCACTCCAAGAGGACTAGGACAGGCCTGTGGGAGTTCAGGATGAGCACCTGCCTGCTAATGGTAGGTCAGTGGTTCAAACCCACCAGCTGCTCCTCGGAAACCCTATACAGGCTCACTATGAGTTGGAACCAACTCGACGGCACTTAATAACAATGGAAGTACACCTTTCCAAGGAGCCCTGCTGGTGGTGTGGGTTAGGCTTTGGGCTGCTTACTACAAGGCCAGTGGTTCAAACCCACCAGCTGTGCCAAGGGAGGAAGATGAAGCTGTTGGCTCCTGTTAAAGTGTATGCTCTTCAAAACCCTATGCAGAAGCACTATGAGTCAGAATGGAGGTGGGAGCAGGTATGTTTGGCTTTGTTTCGGGTACACTGTCCCCGTAGCACCAAAACCCAAACCAAACCCAAACCAAACCCATAGCCTTCAAGTCGACTCTGACCTAAAATGACCTTGTAGGGCAGAGCGGAACTGCTGCTGCGGGTGTCTGAGATTTTATGGGAGCAGACAGCCTCCTCTTTCTCCCACTCTAGCTAATATTGTTGTTGTTGTGAAGTGCTGTCGAACTGATACCGACCCACAGTGACCCTGTATAGGGTTTCCGAGGAGTAGCTGTTGACCTTGTGGTTCAAACTGGCTTTGCAGTCCAGCGCATTAACCCACAGCGCCACCCCAGGACTCCCTACCATGATAAATGTTTGTTGACTGAAAGAATTAATCTGTGAATGAAGAAAAGAAAAGAAGCTGGGTCAACAGTAGAGCTCAGGGAACAGAGGCCATTTCCCTGTTATAGGAAGAATGCAACAGTCATTAAAGTTGTCCACTCAGCTCTAAGTCCATATGTTATTGGGAAGTGCTGTCGAGTCGGTTCTGACGCTTAGACACCCTGTTTGGGTTTCCGAGGAGCAGCTGGTGGGTTTGAACTGCTGACCTTGTGGTCGCACACCAGGAGTCCATATATACATAGTACACACATGTAAACGTTTTCTTGTTTGTTGCTGCTGTGAAGACTTGTGAGTTCTGACTTAGAGTGACCCCATGGGACAGAGTGAGTACAAGTGCCCACAAGATTCTCTAGTCTTTATGGGAGGAGGGCACCAGCTACTTCTCTGGCCGAAAGACGTCTGTTCCCATCAAGACTAGTCTCAGAAACCCTATGAAGCAGTCCTACTCTGTCCTGAGCTTCACTGTGACTTGGAATACACTCGAAGGCAGTGGGCTTCCTTATTCTGGTAATACATACTGGTGATTCAGTCATTATTAAATAAAACACAGAGAAGACTTTGTTAAACAACCAGTTTAACAGTTTTCACCCTTAGTAGCTTAGCCTGGCTTTGCTCTACAGCCAGAGTCCACATCAGCCCTAACGAGTCACACCATAAACACATGTCACTCCAAGGTGTGGAGCAGGACTTACTGAGAGCTGGACTGCTGAGCCACCAGGCACCTGGCCACCTGCCTCTGTGACGACTGTTGTTGTTAAAGGTAGTCAGCTCATCTACAAGTCTCTATGTTGTTGGTAAGTGCCCATGAGTCGGTTCTGACTCACAGCGACCTTGTTTAGGATAGTTCATAGTCCTGAAGTTTTCTACGGCCAAGGGCTCGGTGACAGTCTTTAGATGCATGCACAATTTGACCTCTACATCTGACCTATGAGGTTGCTGTTGCTAAGTGTGGTTGAGTCAATTCTGACTCATAGAGTTTCTACAGAGTGGATGATGAATTTGAATTGCTAACCTTATGATTCAAACTGACCTTGCAGTCGTGTGCTTGTCCTACAGTGCCACATAGCCTTATTGTTCTCACATCACCAATAGGAAAAGGGAGGCTGACAGACACTTGCTTGGGGTAACAGTGCACGTAGAACCGAAAGTTAGGTTGGTATGGCTCTCTGCCGCAGAAACCCTCAGGTTAAAACCGTCTGTGATGGTCACGTTATATTGGCAGCAACGCCTTACATGGTCAGTCCCATAAAGTTACTCTATAGTGAAAATCTCAAAATGTAGTCTCTCCAAGCTCCACGGAGTCGTTACCTTTTATCTCCCTTCAAACTTCCCCACTCCCAACAACCAGACAGGCAGATGTTCTCAGGCAGCCATTGCTCCCAACTCAAGATACCTTGTAATCACAGTGGCCCTTACTTTTAAAGACACAAGAGACCTCAGTGTCATTGTTTGGCCCAGCTGAGTCTGAGTCAGTTCTGACTCACAATGATCCTGTTTTGCAGCAGGACAAGATGCTGTCCAGCCTGGCACCATGCCTGAAGTTTCCTTTAGTCAGACTTTTATATGAGTTGGAACTGACTCGATGGCACTTAACAATAACAATACATGTATTTGTAAAATCATACACTTTATAAGTATAGCTATGTTTGTATAATCATATATTTTTATTTGTGATACTATTTGCACCTTATTTTGCTGATTCAGGAGTACTGGTGGTGCTGTGGGGTAAGCACTGGACTGCTAACCGCCAAGTTGGCAGTTCAAATCCACCAGCTTCTTTGTGGGAAAAAGATGAGGCTTTCTGTTCCCGTAAAGATTCACAGCCTCAGACACCCTATATGAAGTCACTGTGGTGGTAATGCATTTGGTTTGAGCTATTCTATAGATAATTATAGATCTTTTATACATGTCTATATTTATACAGTTATGTGCACTTTACAGATATTATTTACAACGACCTTATTTTATACATTGTTGTTGTTAAGTGCCATTGAGTAGGTTCCAACTCTGTAGTGACTCGGTATAGGGTTTCCAGGAGTGGCTGGCTGGTGAGTTTGAGCTACCAAACTTGTGGTTACCAATTCAGTGCTTATCCTACAGCACCACACTAGGATTCCGTTTTATAGCTAATCATGGATATTTTATAAATATGTCTATGTTGTTATTGTTGTTAAGTGCTGTCAAGTCAGTTGCAATGCATTGCAAGCCTGGATAGGGTTTCTGAGGATTAACTGGTGGGTTTGAACCACAGACTTTGTGGTTAACAGTCCAGTGCTTATCCTACAGCACCACACCAGGACTCCAAATATGTCTATATTTATATAATGATATGCCTTTTATAGGCATTTCTTGCACCTTTCATATCACCTAAGAATTACATCCCAGAAATGAATCAGCCTCATGTTCTGGAGTAATTTCCGGCTCTTTAAAAGCCCCTGGGATATCTGATCGCCTTCTCCCTCTGTCTGCTCTTTCTCAAACAGCCACTTCACTATGCCTACACTGACCCACTCCTCAAAACCCTACACAGGGGCGCTATGAATCTGAACGATTCATGGCAGCCCCCACATATTGACCACGCCTCAGAAACCCCACACAGGGGTGCTATGAATCTGAACACTGAATGATTTACAATCCAGAAAGGTGTGCACCAGGATTGTATCCTTCCACCATACGTGTTCCATCTTTATGCTGAGCACATGATCTGAAAAACTGGAGGCTATGAAGAATGGCGGGCATCAGGACTGGAGGAAGACTCATTAACAACCTGAAATGATTGTAGGTTTGGCGCAGGACCAGCCGGGCAGTGTTTCGTTCTGTTGTGCGTAAGGTCACTAGGAGCTGGAACTGAGCTGACAGCTCTCGACAACAACACAGTAATCCTGGTCATCTGTCAGCAGCGCCTTTCTGTGGTAAGAACTGTCCGAGTTTACACTGACCACAGAAGGACAAGACACTAGGCCGGCAGGAGCTGGCTCTATTCTGCCAGGGGCTTACCTTTGACAGGTCTCGGAAGTTTCCGGGGAGAGTCAGATCCAGCTCCTCGGACTCATAGTTTGTCAGCACCCACGGAAACACGGGGTACTGGTTCAGGTCATTGTATGTCCGTCCTTGGAAAGAAAAAGACAGGAAAATGGGCGTTCAGTAACTGCTAACGATAGACAGTAATCGGCACAGTTTAATAGTATACAAGGCAAAGCTGGCATGTCAGAAAACCAAACCAAACAAGTCTTGTTTCCTGAAAGAGCCCAGCAGCCCAATACATTCAGCACCAGGCTCTTAACCAGAAGGTTCAGTCACTCAGGGGGTCAGAAAACCCAGGGAGCAGATCTACTATGTCCTACAAGGTCGCTACACCACCATGGGGGTCCCCAAAGGAGAGCACAGAGGCAGTGGCCCTGCACACTCGTGGGCGGTGTTGTTCTGTGATGATGTAGAAGCATCTAGAAGGCACTTCCCCAGAGGAAGAGAGCTGAGCTTCCGTCAAGAACCACAACAGAGGCCAGTAAGGAAGGTTGTAGACGGCGGCACCACACGTGGTCCCCACTCCGAGCTTCGTGATCTGTTCAGAGACTGAACCCCAGTGTTTCACTTCAGAGGGGAGCAGCTGTTTCTTCTTCTTAGATGACATTTGTCCTGTGTTTTCGATGAGGGCTCACACAGCTGTGTAGGTTCCCATCCAACAAATGTTACATCACATTAGTCACAATTCTGAGTCATTCTGCTTCCTCCACTTCTGTTCATTTAGTTTCCCTGCTGCCTCACCCTCTCATCTTTATACTGAAGTTGCTGTATACCCATTCGTGTCATGGAGCTGAGTTTTCACGAAGCACTGTATGCATGGGGAACATTCTTTATTTGATGAGTCAATGAGCCATTTAGCTAACAGGGTCCTTGGGGCTAGCTTCAGTTCAAGGCATAAAGGGTCTCCCAGGAGCCTCATGATCTATTAATAGGAAGACTCTAGAAGCCGAGTATATATGGAGTCCTGGTGTGGCATTGTAGGATAAGCACTGGACCGCAAGCTAGGCTTAAACCACAAGGTTGGCAGTGTACCAGTTGTTCCTTGGAAACCCTACATAAGGTCGCTATGAGTGGGAAGTGACTCAACAACACTTAACAACAACAAGAGAAGCAGAGTAGAACTGGGGGACTGAGGGAAGAAGATCACCACTCTATCCAGTGGAGTGCGGATAGGGTCTCACATGAGACTGAGAGACTCTGCCCCAGGAAGGGGGCTCAAAGAGCACTTGGATTCTTCTAAAGGTGGGTTAGGGTTTGACTGTGGCCAACTCGCTACATTTTCATTCAAATCCACTCAATAGAGCTACCATTGGCATTATTAATGCCGATATCAGGTATATTACAGCATCATATCATGTTTGGTAAGAAGGAAAGGAGGAGGGTCAGAGAAAAAGAGGAAGACCCCCTGCACAGTGGCAGCATCAATGGGCTCAAGTGTGGCAACGATAGTGAGGTTGGGCCAGGATCGGGTAGTGTTCCGTTCTTCTGTGTATAAGGTCGCTATGAGCCGGTACCGACTTGATGGCACATAACAACAACAACAACAGCATTTACATAGCTATGTATACTGTGTCTTGTTTGTTATTAAGAAATGGCATGGAATGAAACCTACTCCTGTTGCAGGAATCCCTGGGGGAGCAATGGTTAGGCCTTATCTACTTAGAGAAAGGTCTGCGATTTCAACCCACCCAGGGGCTTTGTCCATGGAGTCCTGGTGTGGCACTGTGGGCTAATGCATCAGACTGCAAAGACGTTTGAAGTGAAAGGTCGGTGGTTCAAGCTCACCAGCTGCTCCTTGGAAACCCTACACAGGGTCGCTGTGGGTCGGAATTGACTCGACAGCACTTCACAACAACAACAGTGGCTTTGCCCACTACTCATCTGTTAGTCTGTCGTACTGTGGGGGCTTGTGTGTTGCTGTGATTTTGAAAGCAATGACATAGGTATTTTAAATACCAGCAGGGTCACCCATGGTGGGCAGATTCAGTTGAGCTTCCAGACTAAGACAGACTAGGGAGAAGGAGTGACGGACTACTTTTGAGGATTTAGTCACTGAAAAGGTTATGAAAAGCAGTGGACTGTCAGAGAATAACAACGGAGCATTGACTTTTGAAACATGATGAAGAGCACCAGAATACTGTCAGATACAGTGCTGGAAAATGAGCCCTCAGGTTGGAAGGCACTCAAAATGCAACTGGGGAAGAGCTGCCTCCTCAAAGTAGACTTCACAGTGATGATACGAACAGAGTTAAGCCCTCAGGCACAACTCAAAATGAAGAGAAACACCTGTAAAAATCCACTGATAATCAGAACATGGAATATATGAAGTATGAATTTAGGAAATTAGACATTGTCAAGATGAAACGAATTGCATAAACATCGATATCCTGGGCATTAGTGGGCTGCAATGGACTGGTATTGGCCATTTTGAATCGGACAACCACAAGGTTTACTATGCTGGGAATGGTAAGATGAAGAGGAACAGCATTGCATTCATCATTAAAAAGAACATTTCAAGATCTTTCTTGAAGTACATCGCTGCCTGTGATAGGATAAGATCCATGCGCCTACAAGGAAGACAAGTCAATGCCACTATAATCCAAATTTATGCACCAACCACTAAAGCCAGTGGTGATGAAATCAAAGAATTCTATCACCTTCTTCAGTTTCAAACTAATCAAATATGCAACCAAGATGTATTGATCATTACTGGTGATTGGAATGCAAAGGTTGGAAACAAAGAGGAAGGAGTAGTAGTTGGAAAAGATGGTCTTGGCAGCAGTAATGATGCTGGAGACTGATTGCTAGAATTCTGCGAGACCAATGACTTTTTCATTGCAAATGTTGTTGTTGTTGTTAAGTGCCGTCGAGTCGGTTCTGACCCATAGCGACCCTGTACAGGGTTTCCGAGGGTGTAAATCCTTACGGGAGTAGAAAGCCTCATCTTTCTCCCAAATACCTTTTATATAAAACATAAAAGAGAACTATATACAGGGACCTCACCAGATGGAAAACACAGATATCAAACTGACTACATCTGTGGAAAGAGATGGTGGACAAGCTCCATATCATCATCCAAAACAAGGTCAGGGGCAGACTGTGGAATAACAGATCAGTTGCTCATATGCAAATTCAGGCTGAAGCTGAATAAAATTAAAACAAGTCCATGAGATCCAAAAGATGACCTTGAACATATCCCACATGAATTTAGAGATCATCTCAAGAACAGATTTGATGCTAAATACTAAAGACCAAAGACCAAAAGAACTGTGGGATGATATCAAGACTTCATACAGCAAGAAGACAAGAAAAATGGAAAAGACTAAACTGGATGTCAGAAGAGACTTTGAAACATACTCTCCAGCGTAGAGATGCTAAAGCAAAGGGAAGAAATGAGGAGATACAAGAGCTGAACAGAAAATTTCAAAGGTCAGCCCAAGAAGACAAAGTCAATTATTATACTAAAATGTGCAAAGGCCTGGAGTTAGAAAACCAGAAGGGATGAACATGCTCAGCATTTCTCAAGCTGAGGTAACTAAAGATAAAATCCAAGTCTTGACTTACAGTATTGAAGGATTATCTGAGCAAAATACTGAATAATGAAGAAAGCATCAATAGAAGATGGAAGGAATACACAGATTCACTGTACCAAAAAGAAACGGTTAGTGTTCAACCATTTTAAGAGGAAGCATTATGACCAAGAGCCAGTGATCCTGTAGGAAGAAGTCCAAGGTGCACTGAAGGAACTGGCAAAGAACAAGGCACCAGGAAATGATGGAATAAAAATCGAAATCTTTCAACAAACTGATGCAACACTGGAGGCACTCACTCATCTGTGCCAAAAAATTTGGAAGACAGCTGCCTGGCCAAATGAATGGAAGAGATCTGTATTTGTGTCCATTCCAAAGAAAGGTGACCCAACAGAATGGGGAAATCATCGGACAGTATCATTGATATCGCATACAAGTAAAGTTTTGCTAAAAGTGATATAAAAATGACTGCAAGCATACATTGAGAGAACTTCCAGATTCAAGCCAGATTCAGAAGAGGACAGGGAACAAAGGATATCATTGCTGACATTAGCTGGATCTTGGCTGAAAGCAGAGAATACTAGAAAGATGGTTACTTGTGCTTTATTGACAATGCAAAGACTTTCCATTATGTGGATCTTAAAAAGTTATGGACAACATTGCAGAGAATGAGTACTCCGAAATACTTTATTGTGCTCATGAGGAACCTGGACATAGACCAAGAGGCAGCTGTACAAACAAAACATGGGACCGCCGAATGGTTTAAAATCAGGAAAGATGTGCAATAGGGTTGTATTCTTACACTATACAATTCAATCTGTATGCTGAGCATATAACCCGAAAAAAAAACCACCTGGATTATATGAAGAAGGTGGCATCAGGATTGGAGAAACACTCATTAACAACCTGCGATGTGCAGATGATACAGCCTTGCTTGCTGAAAGTGAAGAGGACTTATACTTACTGATAAAGATCAAAGGCCACAGTCTTCATTATGGATTAAATCTCAATGTAAAGAAAAAAAAAAAAATCCTCACCACTGGATCAACAAACAGCATCCATATAAATGCAGAAAAGATTGAATTTGTCCAGGACTTCATTCTTCTTGGATCAAATATCAACACTCATGGAAGCAGCAGTCAAGAAATCAGATGACGTATTGCATTAGGCAAATCTGCTGCACAAGACCTTTTTAAAGTGTTGAAGAGCAAAGATGTTAGCTTGAGGACTAAGGTGCGCCTGACCCAAGCCAAGGTATTTTCAATAACCTCATATGCATGTGAAAGCTTAACAGTGAATAAGGAAGACCGTAGAAGAATTGATGCTTTTGAGTTATGGTGTTGAAGGAGAATATTGAAAGTACCATGGGCTGACAAAAGAACCAATAGATCTGTGTTGGAAGAAGTGCAGCCAGAATGCTTCTTGGAGGCCAGGATGGCCAAACTTTGTCTTTCATACTTCAGACATACTGTCAGGAGGGACCAGTCGCTTGGTATCATGTTTGGTAAAGTGGAGGGTCAGAGAAAAAGAGGAAGACCCCCAACGAGATGGACTTG